AATTGAAAACATGGCGTGGTCCATTAAAGGGGGTTCTCTGTGCCTAAACCATCATACACATAGCTAAGCTTCCTGGACCATGCACTGTCGAATTTGTCATCCTCCACTTCAGTTCATATTGTTGTCATAAAGAGTACTGTTTTGAAATGATAAGGACTGTAGTGCTGGAAAGGTGTTCTGACTTATGTATGACTTCATCTGGAAGATTATTGGGGAATAAAATTTAGTTTGGATTTGAATATTACATACTTAATTGCTTAAAATTTTTCTATGCTAGAACAACTCCATCATGCTGGTGAATATGTGTTGAGAATTTGTTATTGCAAGCAAGAGTCTGAGCTTCATACATACCACGCCTGAATTCTCTGACTGAGCTAAATCCTTAGCCCCTAGGGTACAGCTGAGATCTTCGCTTTTAGAGAAGAAAAACATCAAAACATACCTTTTTAGAGTTCTTTTTTTTTTTTTTTTTAAATTCTAGGTGTATTTTCGTTTCCCCCAGACAGGCTGACTCATACCACCCGTCGAAGAACTAAGTTAGCAAGAAATTTATTTGAAGTGTTATGCATAGTGGTTTCACTATGGGGAGTGGCGTGACAGAGAGGGATGAAGAAATGAAAGAAAATATCAGCCTGCTTATATTCTCAGCTTCAAGTAAAGATATCTGAGGACAGGCTAGTGTGAGAAAGACAATGCACTGCCCAGTCTATAGGCAGAGAAGCTGTAGTATCTATTTGTTGCTGCACTTTCAACAAAGAAACACTATTTTTTTTTAGCATTCTCCTAAGTCTACTGGGAGTTTAGTTATTACGCCTGTATGCACGCAAACACTATGGTGTGTATATATCATACTCTGTGTGTGAGTGTGTGTGCAAATCTAGTACTCTGTTTAACTTGAACATCTTACTATCTTCATTTGTGCTTATGTTTTATTCTCCATATTTTGGTGATTGTAAAGAGTGTGTGCATACATGACTGTATTATGGTCTTTTGTTAAAAACTATATTTTCAAATGATATCAAGTATGTCCAGGGCAATACAAATGGCACTACCTCACTGGGAATGTAGGGCTGTGATGAAGTCTCCTAAGATGAAAATGGCTCCAGCTCCTGAAGCAGCACAGCTGACAAATCAGAGCTCAACCAGAGCCCTCTGTTAATTCTGAAAATGTGACTCAGCCATGTTTGGTCAGCAAACATTCGTGTAATTAGATTTTTAAGCTTGCAATGTTAAAATGCCTAGAAGCCTATCTCAGATTTATTTCCGTTGGTTGTATTACCTCATCTTCCTATGAATTTTGTTTTTAAATGTCACAACGTATTTTAAAAAAAGAGCAATTATCTTTGCACATATACCATTTCTTACAAAATATAAAAAGTACTGCTGTTTAGGAAAACAAGGATAAATAAAATGACTACTTAGAGAAGGGAGGAACATTCCCTTCATGATTCGCTGTTTATTCATATGCTCAAAATATTATTGTAACACCATTTCTGTGCTGAGTTGTCTGCTGACTCATAATTGGTCTTGCTTTAATCTTTCCACACTAAAAAGTAACGTATGTTCAGTTTCACACATTAAAATGTATCAAATGAATTAAAAACTGGCTAACATGGTTCTTGTTCTATCTGCAGTTTCCAAATAGGTCTTTATAAAAATTGAGATGACTTTATATGCATTATTTTTCTCTTTTTGTTCCCACAATATAAATATTATTTTTACATTTCAAAAACATTCTATAGACATGCTTCTGTCAGTAGAGCTGACACTTTCTCCTTAACCTAGTATTACAAAATTAATAGCAGAATGCACGTTGTTTATTCATATAATTTTCATGGTGGGCTTTTCAATTATGTCCATGCTGAAGGAAGATTATTGCCAGAGAATACAAGGATACTGATATACAGCCAGAATCAAGGGCCCTACAAACTCTCTGTAAGCCATCAACACATTGGACCAGAAAGATAGAGAACTTTTTACCACAGAATGCTCCACAGAGATGATGATCTGTCCTGGCAGTGGCAGATATCTTGGTCAGCCTCAGCACCAGGCTCTGAAGGAGCTAGATGGAATTATGGACTGAGAAAGAGCAGAGCAAAGCCGCAGAGGAAGCAGGCTGGTTGCAGTCTCTCGGGCTGGCCAGCTCTGACCTCATCTTATGCAGTAAGAGTCTCATTACTGAGTGTAGATGCCACACTTTCAGATAGTTTTGGGATGTTTTTGTTTAGAAAATTGCAGTGTGCCGTAATAAATGTAAAGGTAAAAGGAATAACTTTCCAAATAGCAAGAAGTTAACTCAGGGCCCAGAATTGTACCTCCACATTGACTGATGTAACAATTTTTTAGAAGCTGTCTTTTCATATTAAAACTGTGATTTGTATGCAATGTACAAAATGTAAACAGAATTACAGGTTTTCTTTTGATAGAAGATAAAAACAAACTTTTAACTTTTATTACCTTGTTAAGAAATGTACCCTTTTATTTAACATATATAACATTTGAATATTTAAAATGTATTTAATATTTTTATATACCTTATTATCTTCAGCTTTAAAGCTGTGTCCATAGAAAATCAAGCATGAAATCAGGGTCTGGTCAACTAAGTCATTCATAATGTGTTTGCAGCTACAGGTAAAGATGGTTTGGTAGATAAGTGTTTGAACATGGCCATCATGTCAGAGGCAATGTTAACTGACTGGGGATAGAGTTGGCACCCGAGGACCAGCTCTGATTTCAAGATGGTATCACCCACTTCTTCATAAGCTATGAAGAAGAAATCTTAATAGAAATCAGTTCTTGATGGGTAGTTCTCACAAACTACCAAATATTTAAGAAAAAGAATGCCTGTGTCTGTCTCATACTCTCTCTCTCTCTCTCTCTCTCTCTTTCATGCACATGCATGCACCCCCCCACACACAAACACACCCTCACACACAAACACATGGTTGGGTGGCAGAGGAAATTTTTAAACAGGGAGAATTCCTATTCAAACTCAATAAAGAACAAATCAAAAAGGAGGCATACATGCAGCTAGATTATAAAATCACCAGGATTTTATAATTTTTCTTAATTATCAGCATCATTTTGATTTCAGAGTTACTGGAATATGCATCTAGCGCATGTTAGACTAGTGATGATGCAACTTTAAGTCAGCCATTGGACCTCTCAGCCCAGTGGCTACATCCATAAAATGGGACCATACCCCATAACCTTATAGAATTATAGAGTTCAAGTGAGGTGATACACACGAAATGCCTATTGATATTATTGAAGAAATACTGGTCTCTCTGTTAGAAAAATTCAAGTGCTCTATAGCAGGAAGGTGTTTCTTGTTGGGATTAAAGAGGATATGCAGGAGGGAGGTAAAATGTAGCAAGAGAGGAGCAATGATGCAAGAAATCACTCGTTTGTTGTTTTTACAGGAGCAAAGAGATGTTTCCCCATTCTCTCTCTAGTTTTCCACAAAAGTAATTCTGTGAATCAGACAGGCCAATTTTCATACCTGATTTGTAGAAGTGAAACTGTGACTTATAAATTTAAATGAATTTCCCACTGTCACCTCTCAAGTCTGTAATCAGTGGATTGTTTTGGACTAATAGTTCGGTGTTCATTATACTTCTCCAAACCATCAATGCCAGACACTTGGCAAATATCAAACAGTTGAAAATCTAATCCACAAATTGGCTAAAAGAATACCTGCTAGGACAGTCATGGAAGGCCTCTTTTGGGGCCCTTTGGGACTGCCACCACACTCCTGAGGAACACATGGGGGCACAGCATGAATTCTTACATGTGGTGAGCAAGAGCCAAAGTGTACACACTCTCATTTGATTGTTAGCATTTTCTGAATGGAAGTTGATTGTCTAAAGAGAGCTACCCTTCAACTACAATGAGAATGCTGGCTAGGTTTCTTCAGCAGAGTTTACAATGTCATAAACACAAAGATGATTAAGTCCATCCTTTGGACACTGGGTGCACATTCCATGTTCTGAGATAATCTGTCAGAAAGCATATACCTCCTGTTGTCCCTCTGAGTAAAAAAATCCTGCAGATGGATATACATATATATGCATATGTACATATACATACATATATGTATACATATATGTATGCTGAGATATATATGTATATATACATACATAAATTTGTATATACTTATATTTACCTCAGCATTCTCAAGGCCTTGCTGGAAGCTGACACATAATACCTACTTAGCAAATGCCTTCTGCTGTCATCACAGCTGCCGAGTTACAGTTCAACATCAATTCTTAGGAAAATTTTACAAGAAAAAAAATTATGTGACAGGGTCAGTTTAGGTTTTTGCAGAATACGTAATAACTGCTGCATCCTGAACAACAAGTGAATTGTTAAGTATTGTGAGAGCAGGACCATTGCTAGAAAGATAAAGGACGATGTGGAAGTTGCAGCAATGACTGTGCTCACTCAAATGCAAGGAAAGCATTGCCTAGCATAAACATGCGTCCACAGAAATCTTCATCTGCATTAGGACCAATGAAGTCACCGCTGTGGAGGGAAAAGCCTCAGAGAGAAAGTAGAATTTATTTGTAAAGAGTAAGCAAAAGCGCTTGGTTTATTCCCCACAATTACAGCGATTTGGTTTCAGCTCAAAGAAGTACCACAGACAACACACTCCGGGAGTGGCCACACAGTTTGCTTTCATTGCTTTCCAAGCCCTGGTTTGGCTGATTCATCCGTAGAAAAGCAGAACAAAAGTCCAGGCCTACTACACCCTCAAGCGTTCAAGTGGCGCTTTGGGATCAGGGGTTATTTATAGCAATCTGGTTCACAGAAGTACTTCCTGCCCTATTCAGCAAATGTTCACGTGGGCATCCCAGAGCCAAGGCGCGCACACTGTGTGTGCCACCCGAGATCAGATCTTCAAGCCTGTAGTGGTTTTGATCTAGCCATCCGTCTCTGACCCTTTACTACTGAACGGGATCTCTCTCTCTCTTTTTTTAATGTGCACATTCCATCTATAGGTTCTGTGATGAAGACAGATTCATTGACTATGACTGACGTGCAATCTGTGATCGACAGCTTCGCAGCTTCAGGAAGGGCCGGCCGCCGCAATGCCTTACCCGACATCCAGAGTTCAATGGCCGCTGATGGATCCTCGGAGCTCCCCCTCAAGCTGGAGTCGGTGTCCGTGAAGGAAGGTAACACTCCTCGTCTGCTAAATAAAGCCCTCGGGGTGTCCCTCTCTTCAGTCTTTTTCTCTGGAGCAGCCTTTTAACTCTAGTTGTAAGTGATCTCTTTTCTTCTTGACTAGTGGCTTTCTGGCTAAGTCGGTTTCTACGCCTTTCTTAAACTAGGTGATTTCAGCTCCATGTCCTAAGGGTTCTGTCTGTTAGATGTGTGCGTGTTCCTATGTTAGGTGGGCTCAATCTCCAGCACAAAATTAATTAATTAGGTAGTATTAACTATTGCACTGGAGCTGATTATTGTGCCTCATGACTAGTTCCCCGTCTGTCTTAATCTACCACTTAAGAGTCTGAGTAGTTAATACAGAAGACAATGAGCCTTCTGCCGTAGCGGAGGATGAATCCAGTCACAGAGCATCTTTTCTCATTTCTATCATTGCTATTTTGCCAGCCATTCAATTTTATGACTGCTAAATGCTAGGGACTCCCACGAGCAGGGTGAGATGTGAACTCTCCCAGGAGCGTATCGTCCAACAGGAGTGCTAGACTTTTAATGAATAAATATACAGGCTAACAATGATATGCTTTATCAGAAAACAGACACGCGGTGCTCTGTAGAGAGCCCCGAGTGACTACATTAGGATGGAAATCGGGGAAGCCATCAGTGAAATCAGAATAACTCAGACTGCTGTGAGTTTGGCGCTAGCCTGGGGTACATAGTGAGTCTCTGGACAGCCTGGGCTACAGTGTAAGACTATCTCAAACAAAAGCAGCATAATGACAACAGCAGTTGATACACCAGCGCAGACAGGGAACATTCCACCCTTCCGTGTAGAGTTTCAGGAAGTCAGTGCCTACTGAGAGAGAATCTGTAAACTCCAGAGAGAAATTCTCTCATAAGTTGTCCAGTTCCTAGGGGTCCTCCCTGAAAACATGAGAAAAGCCCAGTGTTACGCTTAACAACATGGTACTTTTTAATTTACATACACACACATGCACACTCACACAAACATTGTGGAGCTGGGGATTGAATTTTGGGCCTTGGGTATGCTAGGCAAGTACTTTTCTACCGAGCTGCACCCCACCCCACTTCCTCCTATCCAGTTTTTCTAAGTACAGATGATTTTACCATTATCATCACATTTGTCATAAGATTAGATCCATATTAATATTATGTCTCAATTAATCCAAGACAAATATCTTTTTAAACAAGGAGAGAGAAAAAGCTTGGCTAACCTATGGCAAGTAAAAAAGGATGATTTCAAGTTGGATAGAAAGAATGGAGAAAGGTGGGTGGGTTAGGGCTATGTCTAATATGAAGAAAGAAAACGGGTTATAACCCCTAAAATAACTGAGTTCAATGTGACAGCATCTACACAGACAAAGACTAGCTTGACATGAGGACATTTTGAGAACTGATGTGTAAAGATTTTGTTTTCTTCTATATCCTGTTAGAGATCTTTATTAAAGATATACACTTTAAATAGTTAAGCATGTACTTTCAAAATATATTTCATGCTATAGGTGAAATGTCCCAATATCTTTCTATCTTTCTATCTTCTTTCTCTGGAACCTAGAACCTACAGGCATGTACTGCTAGGCAAGTACTTTATTGCTTAACTGAACCTTCAAAACCTGAAATAGTCCCATTTCTGGTAAGCCTCATGAACAGTTTATCTTTTCGGTATATATGGAAGAACAGAATGTAAGAAAGAGAAGGATCCCAGGGAGACCACTGTTGTGTCATAATAGTTGCTCAGAGTTAAGTCCTAAGAATTGTGAGACACCCTGGAACTCACAAAACAAAGAGATGACAATGACCAACTCTAAGACCCTTACCCTTAGTACCAGCTTTCTTAGCAAATGTGTCATGGAGATTCTCCTGAATTTAATGTATTGCCAGAAAAAGTATGTCATAGTCAAGGAAGTTTAGAAAATGCTGGTAGACACATAATTCGCTTTTTATATGCCTTAGAACAACTTTGAACAAGGATTTCAGAGAACCTTGTTATAAAGTCATTTTACTTTGTGTTTGTAACACTGAAAGGATGGGGAATTCATCAGTTCCTGCCTGCATTATTCAGGATCCCTGCCAGCATCATAGAGGCACAGAGCTTGCACACACACGTGCACACACACATATAATGGCAATCACTTGCAGATGAAAATTTAATTTTCTTTGAAGTCTCACTAGGAAACAAAGTGCACCTAGTCGCAGGCAGCATGGCTAGCAGCGGATGACAAACAGAAAGTGACCTCAAAGGTAGCTCTGGAGGTTCCTTGTCTCGTAATGTCATGTCAAGGCTTTCTTTTTAAGTTTAATTTTTAGTTTTTTTATTTTCTTTTACTGGAATGTCATATGCGCATGTCCATTATATATAATATATAATAAAGATGGTATTCTTTTAAATTTGAGAATGTCATACATGAGTAGAACATATTTTGATTCATTCAACTCCTCCCCTATCTGCCCCCACTTTTTTCTCACAAGTTCACGTGCTCTTAAAAAGCAAAAACAGAAACAAAATTCACAGAGTCTTCCTGGTGCTGCCTTTACGTGCATTGGGCGTAGGGTATCTTCTGAAAGATGAGACACATCCCCGAGGAAAACTGACTCTCTCTCCCTCCCCACAGCCCATCATTGCCTGTAGGTCCTCAGAGAGGGTGGACAGTTCATAGTCTCATCAGTAATCCTCAGCAGGTGTTATTCTGTTCGTCTTTTCTATTAGCAGTTTCTAGCTGGATTTTGAGAAAGTCAATTAAGAAGCCTCCATACCACTATCTCATTGGACCAAGTATGACCAATAATACAATTTGTAGAATAATTTGCTTCTTCGACTTACAGAAGAAGCCAATATTCTCTAGGATGTGACTATCTCCAGATCTAACAGTTTTTCCCAGAAGACTCTTTTGTGGGGTCGTTGCTCAGAACCAGTGATGACAAAATGATTGCAGGAATAATTCAGTGGTTTGTATTTCATAACGCTTGACAACATTATGGATGTGCTTTCCCACCAAATATGTTTTCTGAATTTCTTTCCACGAACATTCACTAAACATCTGCCATGTTCTTTCAAAGAGCAACTGGCTGTGACTATGACCCAGATGCCTTCATGACCCCAAGTCGGCTTTCAGCTGCTGCCTATTTCTCTGGTTTTGATTCACAGATAAGTACCAGGAGAATGTGTTGCTTTTTTTTTTTTGGCTACTCATTTTCTTTTTTCCATCCTACCTCTAGCCCTAGTAATATTCCATGCCATTTCACCTATCTGTGACATTTCTTTCCTATAGTTGTTGCATTCTTAGCCCTTCCTAGCATGACCTTTCAGGATGCTTCCATGATTGATGATTGCTTCTTCTCTTACACAGGTTTCTTCCTTTGCTTTCCAGGACACTTTGCTCTCATGGTTTTCTTTTCTCCTCACCGACTCTTTCTATCTTCTTTTCTTTTGTTTTATCTCTGTCCTCACTCTCTTAAAGTTTGTGTTCTTTCACTTGCTTGATTAAAGTTAGCCCCAGCATATTTTATATTATTTGAGGCTATCATGAAAGGTGTTACCTACATGATTTCTTTCTCAGTCTGCTTGTCATTTGTTATACAGGAAGACTACTGATTTTTTTTTTTTTTTTTGAGTTAAGTTTGTACTCAGCCACTCTGCTGAAAGTGTTTATCAGCTGTAAGGTCTTCCATGTTCCCACCAGACTATCCCATCAGGCACCACTTTTTAATGTTCTAGGGCTTCTGTCTAGCTTGTAGCTCAAAACTCTTCCTCCACAAATTTGGTTGGAAAGGCCTACGAAGCCCAGGACCAGTTTTCTCACAGCAGGTCTGTTCTTGGTAGCAGTCCTCTGAAGTTTCTTGTTGCTATGACCAAATGCCTGAGGAAATTAAATTAAGGAAGATGAGTTTGTGTTGGTTCGCTGTGGGAAAGGATGCACAGGATGGACCAAGGGTGTAGAGAATCACGACAGGAAGACAGGACGTGCTATGAGGTGGCTGTTCCCATCGCCTTGGCAGTCAAGAACTAGAGAAAAATGAATGCTGTTGCTCAACTGGCTTACTTCTTTACTCAGTCTGTAATCCTACAAAGTGGGATCCTGTCCATCCTCAGGGTCAGCCTTCCTTATGAGTTCAGCTTCTCTGGAGTCACTCTTATACCCTTACATGTTCAGAGATATATCTCCTGGGTCATTCTAAATTGACTCCAATTGACAGTGAAGATTAACTGTCATGGATCTCAGGCTGGAAGTCCCTGAAGTTTGCTGTCATATAAAAGTCTTCCTGGCTGACATCATTACTAGGATACCTAAAAGTAATATCAAATTTAATGGGCATAAAAAAAAAACTTTGGAATTTTCTTCTGAAACCTGCTCTTCCTGCATCTTTTCAATCTTAATGAGTAGCTAGTTCACAGCTCCATTTGCTGAAACCAAGAACGTTGGCTCGTTTCCATTTTGTTTTTCAAATTCTGGGTCTCATCCTTTAGCAGATACCGTTGGCTATACTTTCAAAGTTGGGCCATAAAAATGCCATTTTCCCACCCATTACATATAGTCTTAGTGTATCATCGATAGCATCTCGTGCTTTTTCTCTTCTGTTTCCCTCTTGCATATTGCTGCCTCTGACTTTGCTATTGTCTCATTTAGAATTATTTTCTCCATGTGATATGAACAGCACATGACCTTCCCTTTTTTATTAATATTTTTATTTTTAAATAATTTTATACATTCACTTGTATCCCAGCTGTAGTCCTCTCCCTCTTTCCCTCCCAATCTTCCCCTCCCTCCCTCATCTCCTCCCTGCGTCCTTCCAAGTCCACTGAGAGGGGGTGTCTTCCTCTCCTTCCGTCTGGCCCTAGCTTTTCAGGTATCTTCAGGATGGTTGCAATGTCCTTATCTGTGACCTGGCAAGGCTGCTTCTCCCTCAGGGGGGAGAGGAAGCTCATGAGTTCATGTCAGAAATAGTTCCTGTCCCCCTTACTAGGGAACCCACTTTTGGATACTGAGCTACCATGGGCTATGTCTGAGGAGGGGTTGTACGTTATATCCATGCATGGTCCTTGGTTGGATAAACAGTCTCATAGAAGACCCCTGAGCCCAGATATATTTGCACCTTGTGGGGATCCCTGTCTCTCTAGGATATACTAATTCCTCCTTCCTTCATATGTTTCCCTACACTCTGCCAAAGGCTTGGCTATGGGTCTCAGCATCTTCTTTGATACACTGCTAGGTAGAGTCTTTCACATGCCTTCTGTGGTAAGCTACTGTCCTGTTACTTGTTTTCTCCTATTTCCAATGTCCATTCCCTTTGTCTTTCTAGATGAGGATTTATTATCTTACCCCTGGACCTCTTTCTTGTTTAACATCTTTAGTTGTGCATATTTTAGTATGTTTATCCTATCTTATAGGTCTATATAAGTGAGGATATACCATGTGTGTCTTTTTGCTTTGGGGATACCTTACTCAGGATGATTTCTTCTAGATCCCACCATTTGCCTGCAAAATTCATGATTTCCTTGTTTTTAATTGCTGAGTAGTATTCCATTGTGTAAAAGTACCACAATTTCTGTATCCATTCCTGCACTGATAGACAGCTGGGTTGTTTCCAAGTTCTGGCTATTATGAATAAGGCTGCTACAAACATGGTTGAACAAATGTCTTAATTGTGTACTTGAACATCTTTTGGATATATGCCTAGGAGTGGTATAGCTGGATCTTGAGGAAGCGCTATTCCTAGCTGTCTGAGAAAGCGCCAGATTGATTTCCATAATGGTTGTACCAGTTGACATTCCCACCAGCAATGGAGGAGGGTTCCCCTTTCTCCACAGCCTCTCCAGCATGCAATATCTCTTGAGGTTTTTTTTCTTTTTTCTTTTTCTTTTTTGTTTATTAATTACACTTTACTCACTTTGTATCCCCCCGTGGTTCCTTCCTCCCTCCTCCCATCCCAATAACTCCCTTCCTCCACCCTCTGCCTGCATGCCCCTCCCAAGTCCACTGATAGGGGAGGTCTTCCTCTCCTTCCTTCTGATCCTAGTCAATTAGGTCTCATCAGGAGTGGCTGCATTGTCTTCTTCTGTGGCCTGGTAATGCTGCTTCCCCCTCAGGGGGAGGAAATTAAAGAACAGGCCAATCAGTTCATGTCAGAGACAGTCCCTGTTCCTATTACAATGGAACCCACTTGGATACTGAACTGCCATGGGCTACATCTGTGCAGGGGTCTTAGGTTATCTCCATGCATAGTCCTTGGTTGGAATAGCAGTCTCAGGAAAGACCCCTGTGCTCAGATTTTTTTTGGTTCTGTTGTTCTCAGCCATTCTGATGGGTGTAAGGTGAAATCTCAGGGTCGTTTTGATTTGCATCTCTCTGATGGCTAGGGATATTGAATATCTCCTTATGTGTTTCTCTGCCATTCTATATTCTTCTACAGAGAATTCTCTGTTTAGCTCCATACCCATTTTTTAATTGGGTTACTTGGATTATTGCCTTTTTTAAAATTTTTTATTAATTACACTTTATTCATTTTGTACCCCCCCCATAAGCCCCTCCCTCCTCCCCTCCTGATCCCACCCTCCCTCCCCTTTCTGCATGCATGCCACTCCCCAAGTCCACTGATAGGGGAGGTTCTCCTCTTCTTTCTGATCTTAGTCTATCAGTTCTCTTCAAAATTGGCTGCATTGTCCTCTACTGTGGCCTGGTAAGGCTGCTCCCCCCTCAAGGGGAAGTGATCAACGAGCAGGCCAATCAGATTATGTCAGAGGCCGTCCCTCTTCCCATTACTATGTAACCCACTTGGACACTGAACTGCCATGGGCTACACCTGTGCAGGGGTTCCAGGTCATCTCCATGAATAGTCCTTGGTTGGAGTATGAGTCTCTGGGAAGTTCCCTGTGTTCAAATTATCTTGTTCTGTTGCTCTGCTTGTGGAGTTCCCGTCCCCTCCAGCTCTTACTATTTCCCACTTCTTACATAGAATTCCATTCACTCTGCCCATCAGTTGGCCATCAGGCTCAGCATCTGCTCTGACAGTCTATACTGCAGAAGCTTTCAGAGGCCCTCTGTAGCAGGTTTCAAGGTTGTTTCCTGTTTTCTTTTGGCTTTCAGAGGCCCTCTGTAGCAGGTTCCGAGGTTGTTTCCTATTTTCTTTTTCCTCTGATGTCCATCCTCTTTGCCTTTCAGGATGGGGATTGAACATTTTAATTAGGGTCCTCTCTTTTGCTTAGTTTGCTTAGATGTACAGATTTTAGTGGGTTTATTCTATATTGTATGTTTATATGAGTGAGTATATACCATGCGTGTCTTTTTGCTTCTGGGACAACTCACTCAGGATTATTGCCTTTTAACTTCTTTAGTTCATTATATATTCCAGATATAGTCCTCTGTCAGATGTTGGGTTGGTGAAGATCCTTTCCCAATCTGTAGGCTGTCATTTTGTTCTAACGACAGTGTCTTTTGCTTTACAGAAGCTTTTCAGTTTCATGAGGTCCCATTTATTGATTGTTGCTCTTAGGGCCTGTGCTGATGGTGTTCTGTTCAGGAAGTTGTCTCCTGTGTCAATGAGTTCTAGGCTCTTCCCCACTTTTTCTTCTAACCGATTTAGAGTATCTGGTTTTATATTGAGATCTTTGATCCTCTTGAACTTTAGTTTTGTGCAGGGTGATAAATATGGATCTAGTTTCATTTTTTGCATGTAGACATCCAGTTGGACCAGGACCATTTGTTGAAGATGCTGTCTTTTTTCCATTGAATGGTTTTGGCTTCTTTGTCAAAAATCAAGTATTCATAGGTGTGTGGGTTTATTTTTGGGTATTCTATTTGGTTCCATTGATCCACCTTTCTGTTTCTATGCAGTACCAAGCAGTTTTTATTACTATTGCTCTGTAGTACAACTTGAGATCGGTGATGGAAATACCTCCAGAGGATCTGTTGTTGTACAGGATTGTTTTGGAAATTCTGGAGTTTTGTTTTTCCATATGAAATTGAGAATTTTTTTTTTCAAGGTCTGTAAAGAATTGTGTTGCTCTTTTGATGGGAATTGCATTGAATCTGTAGATTGCTTTTGGCAGAATGGCCATTTTCACTATGTTAATCCTACTGATCTATGAGCACAGGAGATCTTTCCATCTTCTGATGTCTTCTTTGATTTCTTTCTTTACCAAAATGCCTCTTTCTCAGGTGCTTATTTCTAGCCAACTCTTCATCAATTTGTGAAGTCCAGGCCTGGAGTCATCTGACAATTCCTATTTTCCACTCCTGATTTAATAACCTCATGATCTCTTTTCACTTCTCAGAAACCACACACTTTACATATTTTATTTATTGTCAAGTTCATATCACCCACTGGACGATGTCTGAGTCATGTGCTTAATTTAGTGATTTTTTTTTTTTGTAATGGAGGTCTCACAGTGTAGCCCAAGTTGACTTGAAACTCTGTGTAGCTAAGGTTGGTTATTCTAAGTATACTCTGTCAGACTTATCTTCAGATGCTATAGATGGTTTTGTTAGGAGAAAGTTTGAAGGAATGATTGAAACTTAATTTCATTTAAATGAATACAACCAAATATAGAATGTTTCAAAGGATGAAAAACTATATTGCAACTGAGCTACATCACTGGGAAGGCAGAGGCATAAAAAAACCTTCTGAGTTTGAGGATAGCATGATCTATTTAGTTAAGATCCTGTTTCAAGGGAGAGGAGGAGGGGGGGTTAAGAAGAGAGGGAAAGAGGAGAGTTCAAAGATGGTGGTGATTTGAAAGGAAGAAGCAGGAAAAAGAAGAAGCTTAGTAAAATAAAGAGCAAGGAATTGTCACTGAAGTCAGCTTCTTGATGGGCCAGAAACAGACAGGAGTTGGAGCCATGAGGACATTAGACTCTGGCAATAAGAGCAACATTAGGGCTAAGGTATATACAGCAAAGATGTATATAAAGGGTCCTGCACTAACAAAGGGGTGTACTTGCTTGATGCCCTCATCTTTCCTTCAAAGCTCATCAGTATAGCCACTGCATTTTCATCTTTCCGTAAGTGCTGACAAATTATGTAAGCATTGCTGAGAGGCACATCTTCGGTTATTATAGGAGGGGCAGAAACAATAAGGTCAGGTGACAGGAGAGTTTAGGCATTCAGTCATAGGAAGGTGAGGTAGTGCCCACTAATAGGATTGATTTTATTTTGCCTGGAGGGCTGAATGCAGGGTTTTCTCCAAAAAGCAAAGGAAATAGAGAACACCAGCAACGCCACAGAAAGTGTGAAGCACAGATAGGGGAGTGGTTGAGAGCCCATGTAGCCACTTGATCTAGATTCAAGCTCTTTGACTTTCTGCAAGTTATTCCAGTTGCTTTTGCTCTGGTTTACTACCTTGCAGAGCTGCGGTTCACAACTTTCTTAATCCTCCGACCCTTTCATACACTTCCCTGTGCTGTGGTGCCCTCCAACCACACAATCACTCTGTCGCTACTTCACAACTGTAATTTTGCTACTGTTACGAATGGTAAATGTCTGATGGGCAGGTTTATCTGATATGCCACCCACAGGTGGAGAGTCACTAGTACAGATGGGGGTGAGGGTATGATGATCTCTTAGGAGTCTGCCTGGCACGTAGTAACTATCGACCATGGAGAACATTGACTAGGAGAAAAATGTAGAAACTGCTACGCAAATCTTTTTCTCTGTGTGCAGATTCAAATGCAGATTCATTGAGGGTAAAATATGATCTAGCCAGGATAAAAAAACTACTTGGGGAGACAAAGCAAAAAAACAAAAACAAAAACAAAAAAACCACAACAATTTCCATTCTAAACACAAAATATATTTCAACGTATTTTACATATGAATGTGAAATCTTTATCTTTTTCTTTGCAGATGTAAAACAGAATGGTGAAGAGAAAGACCAAGACCAACTGGAAAAGCCCCTAAATGAGGAAAAATGAAGCCTTAGAATTTATCAAGGGTGTTGATTTTATGCTCACTGAGAGACATAGTGACTATGCATTCCTGAGGTGTTTGATTTGGTAGTAACTATGGCAATGTGAGTGTTTTTAGGTAATTTTGTTGTGATTCTCTGTCCTTAAGCTGCAACCATGATACACAAATAAGTTATTAAAAAGCATTACTTTCAAATTGCAACCAAGGCAAGACACATTGTTTATACACTCAGCAAGATCCGCTGTCTATTTTGGGATTTGCTTAGTCACATACATGTTTTATTCTGTTCTTATCAAGTTAGGACATGTTTCTTGATATGTATAAACCAAAACCTACTAACTTAATACTTTGTAGAATTTGTAGGAAATTATATTTTTTGGTGAGATAGAATTAACGATAAAAATCACACATATACAATGTGTTTATTTTTAATCACAGTATTCCCCCCAAATATTAGGAGAGATCTGGAAATATTGTAAAAGTCATGACAACATAAACATCTACAGGATGTTTTTGTCTAATGTATTTTGCATCTAGTCTGTGTATACTGTCTTTTTTCATGTGGACCCACAGAATGTAAAATTTGTGACAAAATTGCTTATCTGAAACATGTGTGTTAAAATAAACTTCACTATATTCCTTAACTTGGTGTGTGTGTGTGTGTGTATGCATCTTGTTTTAAGGTGGATTGTACAAGATAACTGGTTTTTTTTGTTGTTGTTGTTGTTGTTTTGTTTTGTTTTTTAGACTGTTTCTTATTCTCTGGGCTTTTGTGTACGTGCAAATTGTTGCTAAAGTAATTTCATCAGGAATGCTGATCTTAATTTTTAATTTTTTTAAAATAGTTAACATTAGTAATCACTCAAATATTTGTAAGAAAGTATAAGTTAAAGTAAAAAAAATGCATGCTTTTAATATATATTTAAATATAGAAGTTTTCTTTTCCTTTTTGATTGAAAATAGATTCTTCTCTCACACAATACCTCCCCACCACAGTTTCCCTCCCTGCAATTCCCCCAATTCCTCCCTACACACCTCCCCTTTCTCTCAAATCCACTCCCGCTCTGTTTCCCTTCAAAAAAGAGCAGGCCCCCAAGAGACAACAGCCAAATATGACAAAACAAGACACAATAACACAAAGCAAAAGCCCTGACGTTGAGGCTGTACCCGCAAACCTAACAGAAGGAAAAGAGTCTCAAGAGCAGGCAGAAGAGTCAGAGATTCCCCCCCCCCCTGCGCAAGTCCCCCAGGAACAACAAGCTTACAGCCAGTACATACGCACAGAGGACCTGGTGCAGCTCCATGCAGGCTCCATGACCGCCCGTCCGTCTCTGTGGGCCCTTGTTAGCCCTGCTCAGGTGACTCTGTGTTCTCCTGGGGTCCTCCACCCCTCTGACCCTTACAGTCTTTGGATCTCCTTTTCCACAGAGTGGATTTTTTTTTTTATGAGAACATTAACCCAAGGCACTATCAAATTTCCACCTGTTTCAAAAATAGGTTAGTGTAGAACAGTTTTCTAAACTGTTAGGAAACTATAATTATTATATAATATATTATATATAATATATGTAATATTATATATTAGAAAATTATAATTCTGAAACTTAAATTTTGTATATTATATATTTATTATATATAATATAATATAATATAATATAATATAATATAATATAATATAATATAAT